TCGGGATGCCGCTCGAAGCGTCGCTTCAGCATCGCAAAGATCGCATCAGCGTCGCACTGCTCCGGACAGCGCATCTTCCGGTCCTTGGGCACAAAGATCTTCTGCTTGACGATCTTCTTGAAGTTGTCAAAGAGCGTCTCGATGAACATCTTCATCTGCTCCTCGACCATCTCCCTCTTCAGCAGTTCATTGGACTGGACGATGAAGTAGAGCGTCCGCTCGATGAGGTCCTCCAGACTGAGGTTGCCGTAGAGCATCAGCGTCCGCAGCAGGTAGACGGAGGTGATGTCGAAGCGCCGCTTCACCACCTCCAGGTAGTACGGGTAGTAGAGGAGGCTGACGATGCGCTCCGTCTGTATCTCCACCACGGAGTGCCGCTTGCTGAGGGCGCTGACCCGGGCGAGGTTGCAGTGCACCAGCGCGTCGAGGCCGCGCCGAAAGTCGACTCTCTTCAGCGGCGACAGCGCCAGCGCACGCTTCATCAGAATGGAGCCATGGTGGAGAAGGAGCTTGGCCGTCAGCGAGGGCACCAGGCCGTGGTGCTGCTCCACCAGCTTCACCAGCAGACGCTCGTGGTTGTGGATCATGATGGCCGAAGAAGATCGGAGAAACTGATGACGGTGGACATCAAAACACTTTCTTCTTCAAATCAAAACAAGCCGAAAACAGCTGTTGACAAAAAACACGTGCAGCGGCGACCGCAGCGCCCTCTACCACACCTTTCAAACCTACGCGCCTGAAAGCAAAAGACATTTTATTTGGCATCACACGGAACAGAGAAGAAGAAATAAAGTAAGGAAGGAAAGACTTTAACGTAACTGACAACAACAGAGTGAGAGAGAACGTAGTGGAAAGGGTGCAGTGTGCTGTTGTTGCCGTTGAATCCATCATCATCTGGAGCTGGTGCTTGCGTGTGGTGGTGGTGGGCAAAGGGAGGGAGAGAGAGAGAGAGAGAATTCATTCAGAAGGAACATGAGAACACAGGAGTGTGTGTGAGTGTGTAGACTAGGCGTGTTGGAAGAAAGGAAGAGAAGTAAGATAACCAAAAGAAGGAAATTAATATTATAGAAGGGAAAAACAGACAAGTCAAGAAGAATTCATAAGATAAACAAACAGACATTCCCCTACTGCAGCTAGCCGAAGAAGGAAAAGAGAGTGGCACACAAGCAGGCTGGTGTGTAGGCGTGTTGATGCACTTCTAATGTGTGTTGCAGTATGGTAAGGCGCTTAAGCAGCAGATGGCTCCTCCGCCTCCGCCTCCGCCTCCGCTTTGGTAATCTCGTAGAAGACCCACTCCTCCATGAAAGAGGGGACAAAGGCAGTGTGGCTGGTAAAGTTCACCTTGATGGGCAGCTGCTTCAGCACCTTCTCGTACTCCTCCAGGGCGCTGACGCAACTGACGCCGATTGCCTGTAAACAAAAAGAAGGTCATTTAGAAAAAGCATAAAAGTTAAAAAAGCAAAAACTTACGTGGTTCAGGTACTTGCCGTCCGGCTTCACCAGCGGCAGACCGAGCTTGAGAATCTTCAGAACAAACTCCCACAGCTCCAGCGTCGGCTGCTCGTCCTTCTGCTTGCTGTCCTTGCTGCTGATGGGAATGTCCGTCAGGTCGTTGAAGACGTAGTCAAACTGCCTGCCCTCCTCAGCGTAGCGCTTCATGTACTGCAGACAGTCGCCGACAATCACCTCGTAGTTGGTGCCGGTGAAGGAGTCCAGCGAGTCGCCGCAGGCGCCACGCAGGTGCACCTTGCAGGCGTTCATCACGGCGCCGTCAATGTCCACCATGGTGACAAACTTGGGGCTCTCCTTGAGCAGCTCGTGCAGGAGGCCGCCGTCACCGCCGCCCAGTATCAGCACCTCCTTATCTGGAGAAGGAAAAGAGTGGGGAAAAAGTGCAGATTTAGAAATAGTAATCATGAAACGCTGGGCGCTATCACCGCACTTGATAACTCCACACAACACCGCTTACCTTTGTAGCTGTTGACGCCAAACTTCATCAGGCCGTGCGTGTAGTTGATGTCGCACTCGCCCAGATTCTGCAGGTCGTCTAGCAGGAGGACGTTGCCTAGCGTGGGCGAGTGGAGAATCTTGATGTCCTGGTAGGGCGACTTCTCGTGGTGCACCACCTGGTCAAAGTCGTACTCCAGCACCTTGTTGTTCGACTTCTCGAAGTACTGCGGCACGGCGCAGTTGCGCTTCATCACCAGCAGCCGCTCGACGTCCTTCACGCCGGGCACGCCGCTGCAGAGGGCCGCCTGCAGTTTCTCCATGCCGGCGTTGGTGAAACGCTCAAAGGCCGCCTCGCAGGACTTGGAGACGTCGCCGGTGAGGGTGTAGTAGTGCTCCGCCTGGTAGTAGCGCAGGCTGAAGGTGAAGGCGGCGCTGACGCCGGTGAAGGCCACCAGGAAGCCGTTGTCCGGGCCCAGCGGCAGCTCCTGCTTCTCCGTCAGCAGGGGAAAGAAGGCCCTCAGGACGTCGTGCACTCTACTGGTGATCACCGCCGGGTCGTTGCTCACTTTGAAGCTGAACAGTGCGCTGCGCATCGATTCCATTCTGGTGGTGGTGGTGGTGGTGTTGGGCGTAAAACTTGAGCGTCTTCTGTTGCTGTTGCTGATAGCGGTGGTAATGTTGAAGTTGTTTTTCTTCGGTGTTTCGGCAAATTTAGAAACCTCAAATGAAAGTTGTTTAGCTCGAAAGAGAGAATGAGAGGCTTGATGAGATTGAGAAGATTGGAATGCTGCTGGTGGTGGTGCNCTGGTGGCTGGTGGATGGCGGCGATGTCGGCGATGAAGAGCAGCAGTGTCCGGCGGTGGGGCAAAGAGAACAAGAAAGAGAAAGAGAAAGAAAAAGAAAGAGAATGCGAATGAGTCTCTCTGATCGGCGGCAGACAAGAAAGCAGCAGCAGACAGTTTCGCTAGCAGACGGCAAAAAGTAAAGCAGCAGCAGCAGCAGC